AAGCAAGCTGAAGAAAAATACATATTTGTTAAAAACAAAAACAATGAATCACATCTATACCTAGATAATCACTAGGAAAGATCTAAAAAAGATAGACATAAGTGTTAAGAGTAAAGTTGTGAAGGTGAACTTTCACACTGTATTTTACATTTCCATATTTTTTTCCCAACATTTTTGGAATGAGCATCTACTACTTCTGTGATTTAAAAAATTAACAAAAAGGAAATAAAATATGTAATTGTTGGGGGAAGGGGGAGAAAATGGCAATACAATTACCATTACAGTTCTATGACATGGTATATTCCACATGCATATAGAAAACATACTGAACTAGCCAGCATATGATGTGATCAATGACCTCATATTGAAAAGTTCCATTCTGAGTAACATCTAAAGATCTTGGAAATATCATTAGTATGTTATCCAGCACACTTTCCAACTTCTTCCTTTAACTTCTTTCACCATTCTATTTAAATTTTTTTGAAACAACATGCATTGAACACCTATCTGTATACCAGGCACCATGCTAGGCACTGGCAGTATCAAAATAAATGACAGATATGGTTCCAGGTTTCAAGAAACGTATTTCATAGAGCATAATACAATTTTCTGCAATGATGTAAACTTTCTATATATGCATTGTTTCATATGCCATTAGCAGCATGTAGCTACTGTATTTGGAATGTGGTTAATGTGATGGAAAAATTTTTTAAATAAAATTTTAATTTTACTTAACTTAGATGAGTTTAAATTTAAACAGCCCTTTGGCTAATGCCTATGGTACGGGACAGCACAAGTCTACAGGAAGACAAGGACAAATAAACAGATAACTGTAATATATTATGATAAACACTAAACTAGAAGTATGCAGATAAGCTATGAAAACAAGGAAAAGAAGCACTGAGCCCATCATAACATAGCTTCTGGAAAAATTGATGCCTAATCTTCGATCATATGCAGAAAGGTGAAGCATTCCATAGAAAGAAGCAATATAAGTGAAGACCTGAAGGTGTAAAAGTGCATGGTAGGGAGATTAAAAGCAGGTTTGTATTACTAAATGGAAAAACCCACTAAAAGGAGTTACAGGAGAGACATTTAAAAGGTAAAAGCATGCATGAGGGCCAGAATGTGGAAAGGTTATACGTAACGTTTGAACTTGAATTTGTTACATAAGAAAGGGAAAGCCATTGACGAGTTAAATAGGTAATTAAGATGGTTTAGATTTGTACATGCTCATAGCTAGGGTAAATTAGTGTAAATTAGAGGAAGATAAGAAAATGCTAGCAAAAAACTGAAGTTGTTTCCTTGGGAAAAGTTTGATAATCCTTCCAAAAGAATGAACTGTGAACCATTTAAATAAATTGCCTTACCTGAATTAATGTACTAGTCTATGAAAATAAACTTCAACTACTGTATTCAAACTACAAATACATAATTGGGTTTAAGTTTATAGTAAGAAACAAAACACAAAAGTAGACACCACTACTGAAATCAATATTTCAACCCATCCCCATTTGAAAGTCACTGTCTTTTAGCACAGCACTGAGGGAATGCACCTTGCTAAACTAAATTCTTGCGGTTTTATTTTTAGTCAGGTCTATAAGAAAATGAGGATTGGAGAAATATTACCTTTCTTATTAAACTCTGGAATATTAGCCTATTATCAGAATGCTTAAATAAATATAAGACAAGTGCCCTCCAAAAGCAAAAGCCCTCAAAGATAAATAAAAATGGTTATAAACATGGATACAAAGAAATTCTACTTTATCCATGAAAAACAACAAATAAAATTCTATCAAAATAGAATTTTTTTTTTCCTTTTTTGTCTTTTTTCGTGACCAGCAACGGATCGCAACCCTCAGTGTCGTGCCCGGACCGGACCGGGACCGGCAACGGGATCGCAACCCTCAGTGTTGCTCCCGCACCCCGCTCAGCCAGTGAGCGGCCGGTCTGTATGTGGGATCCGAACCCTCGGCGGGAACTCCGCCGCACTTCCCAAGCGGCGCACTGTAGGAGTGTGCCACCGGGCCGGCCCTCAAAATAGAATTTTTAAAAATCCAAATCATTTCCATCTCAGAATATACAAACTCTTAGAGCTACCAGCACGTATACAAATTTTACTTTGATGATTTAATATTCCCTTTTAACTCCCATATACTTTTAATATATTCGTCACAATACCGGACAGGAAATATTTCTATACACCTACTTTTCAGAAGAGGCCTGAAATAACTTTACAACGCAGATTTAAACAACTGTTTCCAAGGATATTTCAACATGCATTAAGTGTCACTGCATAACAATAAAACAGAAAAGGGTAACTATTTTCAGCCAGCAAAATCCTAACCAAGAATGCATTTTCCAGGTGAGCTCAAAAATGTGGATTATTTGTAAACAATGTGACTGGAGCAATGTAGTATTTTTAGAGTAGAATGAGCAAGAATCTTTCTCTTTGTGTGTAAAACATAATTCTTAACTCTTAAGTGTAAGTTTTGGAATTCTATATTAATATGGTTCCATGTGTAATCATTCAAAACTTCTAATACTCACACTTTACAAACTGGAATTTGAGCACTGAAAAGCCATATAACCCAGGATCACAATATTTTAAAAATAATTTAGCAGAACCTACCAATAGATGAAAACGTCCAACAAGTGTGACCAATTAAAATTTTATGAGTCAAGGTAGTTGGAAGTGGTTGTGAGGCAGGAGGAGCTAAAGCAGTACAAATAATAAGCAAAAGCTATATTTGGTCAAGTCTATGAGGACAATTCTGAAAAAGATTACAGGGAGATTCAGCATGACCCCAGCTTACTCTGGCTTATTAAAATCATAAAGACCTGACAAGAAACTTCAGACATCAAGTCAGATGAAACTCTAGAAAGGTTAAACATAACAATATGACACTTTTTTATTAGGGACAGTGCCCAAACCAGACCTAGATCTTATAATAAAAGGCTCTTGGCTATTATACACCATAAAGACCCAGTTACAATTTTCCCCACTGTTTACTTTTCCAGTGTGAGGGAAGAAAGGATTAACTGGGCTAAAATAAATGATTATCAGATAAATGGTTAGTTAACCAAAGCTGGTGCTATCACACTAGTTATCTTCAAAATCTAGAGGGAATAAAACTGGTGAATGAAAGGAGGAGAGGAAAGATGTTTGTGTGTGCGAGTGTGTGTGTGTGCAGGAAGCATAAAAATTTACTTCTACTGGAGCTTTAAACTATTTTGTATTATGGATCACTACACAATGATTTGATAAATCATTATCAAATAAATAAAGTTTTCCTTTAAAAAAATTAAATTCAAATGTTATGTTTATGTTTTTTAAAA